TAAGAGTTCTTCAGTGAAAATAAAGGAGAAAATCCAACAATGCATAAAAGCACAGAAAAATCTTATGTTAAATCTGAGTTTAGGTCATTACTGACCAATATAAAGAGGAACAATGTAGTAGGACTAGACAAAAGATGCTAACAGCTTCAAACAATTTTGGGACAGATAAGATGAAGAAAATATATGACACTGGTGAAATACTGGAAAACCTCTGCAGATCAATCTTCATAGTAATGCCAAAGAGACCTCGTATGAAGAAATGCTTGTTGTCTTTAGGTAGAAAACACGTGTCCAAGTAACTAGTGAGTAACATAAAACAATGTAAAACCAACGACAATGCATGTATTAACAAAAGAATTACAATAAAAGTAGAAAACATTTAAATTAAAGAATATATGTTTGTGTGTGTGTGAAATTTGTGTAGGCCTACATGATAGACACAGATGTGAAAGAGTACAAAAAGTGAAAGGCATTGAAAATGAATGTACCCCAGTGGGATACGCTTTTTTCCACATACATATTATAGCCAGAGTTGTGAAATGGTAAAAAAAAATGAGAATATCATTTCCTGCTTATAGGCTTAAGATACGTCCCCTAGTGACATTTTTTTCAGGAGAGTCAAGTGGTTTGGTTTGGTTTGTGGCATATCAACCTCACTGGACTATTTAATGCTGACACAATTTTTATTCCTGGTCATATTTTTGTTCAAAAATGTATTGCTGGTAATTTTTTTCCAAAACCTCCTGATCAGAGGCCTTGCAGTTGGATGTAGTTTATCGTCTTATCCAGGACACAGATGTAGTTTATCATCATACCGAGGACGGAGTCAAGTGGGATAAGCCACAAATGAATGAATGTGAACCCTCACCAAATAATCAATTTGATGAGCTACATAATAAAAGTAATAAGGAATATATCTCAAAATCTAATTCAACTGGAAATAATGCAGAAAGAATGTTCAAAACACTGTAACAAGAAATACCATTTTTTATTATTTGTATATGTTCAATAGAAGATCAGAAAGATCTATACTTGTTTTTTATAGTTTTGCACAAAGATATTTGACAACAAAACAAAGAAGTCCTTGAAATATTGGGCAAGCTTCATCTACATAGAAAAGATATTCAGATAATCTATAAATTAATGATCATCTAATATATTTTGTAAATACCGCCCTGCACTTTTTCCATGTTTATTGAACAGGTGTAGGGAGTTATCCCTTGTTCCCTGTTCAGAATCTGGTTCACCAATTCTTTCTTTGAAGGCAATAAGGATTTAACTGTCTTAACATTTTGATGATCTGACTGATCAGTAACTGCGACTTACTATTATAAGTGTACCAAGTTGCCAGTTTGTTGTCTGCTGTATCCAACTGGTAGTAAGTAGCCTAAATTCTTTGGTAGAGCTTAGGGAGGATTCTCCAATCAATAGTTGCAAAATGTTGTGCATAGGCAGATGTCCTTGAGGCCACATTATACTTTAGTTTCGGCCATATTCTGGCTAGTTTGTATTGCCATTAATGACAGATATTGATAATTATGTTGGCCTTTTTCTTGTTTCTCCTCAAAACCAAATCTCCTCATGAAAAGAAATTGTGAGGAACGAGAAGACTTATCTCCCGCAAAGCGAATTTGCATGGCGTGTCAGGTTTTGTTGAAAGATCACGACCGGCATTAAAAGCGAAAATGAATTATTCCGAAACTCTTATATCGCGAGCAGGCATACAACGAAAAAAAAAAATAAAAAAGACTAAAATTTTAAGCCAGCGTAAATTTATAAGATCGAAAGTCTCGGGCGAACAAGAAGTAAGTCTCGTATGCAAATGTTAGTTGCCCTTGACACGGGCATAAATAGCGAGTCTGTGAGGAAGACAAGACAAGACAGAACAGACCGCATTTTTGGCATGACGGCATAAGTACTAACGAGAACGAGAGAATAGGAGATCACTAGCAACTGCTCTGTTGGCAGACCAGAGGACTGGACAAATGCAAACACTTTAATCTATTTCAGTCATTGCAAACGATGGGCGAATTGAATTACCCACAGAAATATTACTCTTCAATCATTCGCACTCCTCAGTAATCTTTATGTTGTCTAATTTTCTCACATCCAGTAACTCCTTGTGTCTTAGTGGCTTTACTATGTATGGATACAGAAGGCGATTATTTCCCTTTAGTGGAGATAAGTCATATGACAACTGCTTAGTAACGTCACTTCATACAGTGATGAAAGTGGCCAGTCATTCAGTCAGTAAACTTATTGGTGTCAAGACACATATGTTTGTCCTGCTCATGCTTCCACACAGTGCAGCCAGCTGCCAAATGCTTCAGCTTAAAAGTCCATGGTGCCGTTTCCCTTTGGGAATATATTTTTCCCAGATACAGAAAGAAACTCCAGGTCACAGTCCTCATTTTGTGAAAACCCAAGACACACTGTTTCCCCTTTGTGGAATAGCTAGATGCAACCATCAATTCTACTCCAACAGGTTTTTTTTTTGTCTTGCACTTCTCACTTATAGAAATCCCTTCTGATTTCTTGCTTCCCTGATAACTACAACCTTCAAAAATTTAAATGCAATGTCAATCACCATCTTCTGTCTTCTTGGATCCTATTCCTTTTTTTTTCCTTTCCTCAAACTTCCGATTTTCAATCTTCTCGTTCTTATTCACTTTCACTCCCTGAAACTCCACCTGCTTCCTAGTGGCATTGTTGCCTTGCTTGGGGTGAAATAATTTAAAAAAACCCTAAAGAATTTGTAGTAACTTAGTCTTGGAAACAATGACCAATTCAATAAAGTAAAATTGTGAATCAAGAAATGGTTGGTCAATGTGTTATGGTGAAACACACCTAATCTATAGTTAATAGACTCCCCCACCTAATATAAGTAGGAGTAGTAAGAAAAACGAAGGTCAGTCGAGGTCGGACGACCAGCTGAACGGTTGAACTCTCTGCCTTCGGGTGGGGAGGAACCCGAACGAGGCTACGCCGAAGGACAGCGTCTCGTTTGGGGAGGTAAACCGACCCTGAACCCGTTTATACGGGTTCAAAGGGTATATTTTTGGCAGAGCTCATGGGCTCGGAGATCCCACGTTAAACCGGCCTTGTGCCACATGATACCCTCGTGGGGGGGTGTCTAAATACTAGTCGAGGTCGGACGACAACAGTCGCCAGTTAGTCGAATACGAAAGTAGTCAGCGACAACAAGATTACTCTGCGTAATACCTATTATATCAAGTTCCTAACGTTTTGTACGTCGAACCTATTTTAGGACCTATTTAGTACAAAATTTTTTTTGTTGTTCAGAACATAGAAAATCATGGCACTTCACTACTTCCTGTCTTTTGTGGTCCTTGGTGACTTTTGGACCATTACCATACATCATTGTTTCTTGGGCACTTCGACGTGACGATAATGGTTATCAAGCTTGACTCACTAGAACAGTTATGACTTAGTAGTGAGTTCAGTCCTCACTCGGTGTCCCATACTTTCAGCCTTGTGCCACATCTAAGCTGCACATAGAAAATCGCCATACCTCATTTCCCCTGTTCTGTTTCAATTTCATTTTCTTCCTAGCTTGTTACTGTTTTCTCAGACTCAAATTATGAAACAGGTTACTTGCTACTTCCTGTCGATGTTATCCAAATGTTTTACCTCTGCCCGAACAGTGTGTTGTTAATTGATCTAGGAAACATTGACCAACGTGAAATAAAGACGCAAAATACAAAGGGTTAGGAAATAACAATTAGTAGATTACATTTTTTTTAATTTTCTTCCACATTTTTAACACCATGTCTCTTCAGCTTATCTACAATCTGTTTCTTGTCGATCTAAGTAACCTTTGACCTTTCTTGTTGATCTAAGTAAACTTTGACTTTTCTTGTCGATCTAAGTAACCTTTGATCTTTTACAATTCCTCTTCATCCCTGTTCTGCCTACTAACTATGCAAGCTTATTAAATACATTACCTGCACCCCCCACCGAATCATGATGATTGTACTTCTGCTTAACGAGCAAGTTGTTAATTGATCTTGGAAACTCTGACCAATAAAATCAGGATTAAATGATTACTTAATGGAAAAATAGTTTAGTTCTTATTTTGTTTTCAGCTAAAAATATGGCACAAGGCCAAAAGTATAGAGCACTCAGTGTAGCTCGAACTCACTACTCAGTCATAATTGTTCTAGCGAGACAAGCTTGCTAAGCATTACAATCACTTTGAAGTACCCATATATGTTGATTTAATAAGCAAAGCTTAGATGTGGTAAAAGCCTGAAAGTATTGGGCACTTATTGATCAAATTCACTACTCAGTTGTAATTGATCTTGGAAGACAAGCTTTCTACCCATAATAACCATGTCAAGATACCCAACCCAACCTATTAATTATGTTACTTGCTCCCCCCTCTCAATGATCAAAATATTTTACTTCTATCGGTCATTTGGTGGCTCTTCTGTAATATCCGCTTGATTTGCTAGATCTGTGGCACCAAGCCTCAGTATGAAACACCTTCATCCGAGTTAACAAAGCGTAGTATTGAGGATATAACATTAGTGCTGTGTACCCATTGTCTTAAATGTTTTAGTCATGTCCAACGAGTTTTGTCATTATCTGTCTATATTTCTGAGATGAGGTATTATGTACACTATTTACATTATTCGGACTATTCTCCTCATCTTTGTCGCCATATTTATTACAACGTTTAGGCCGCTCGAACCTTCTTCGGGTGGTTGGAATGTCGAACTGAATCCTTTATTTCGCTCACTGGGGTAGACTGTTCTAGTTCCATGTGCCATGTTTAATGGATGTCAGTTGTCAGTTATCTCCTGTTAAAAACCATTTCCAAGTTCTTCACTGCCTTAACCGGTTATTGAACTCATACTCTTTGAGTCCTGTCACTGGATCTAACATCATTATCCACTGTGCCATGTATCCTTGAGTTTTGTCATGCATCAGGATTGTCTTGGAGTTCAGGGTTCCTGGTCATAGAGGTTGAGGTAGACCTAGGAAGATGTGGTCTGCATTGGGAGGGATGTGCAGGAGTGCTGCCTTTCCCACATTAGCCCACTTGACAGGGATGCTTGGAAAGAAGGAGTGAGAGGTTGCTGACTGCTGTCTACACATGTCAATGGGAAATCTCCAGCGGTATAATCAAAGCTCTGGATCATGACTTGACTTGACCTAATTATCCCATTGTTAAATGATTTTGGAAACTCTGACCAATACAATCAATATGCAAAAATAAATTGTTATTTGATGAAAAATTATTTTGTTTTAAGCTAATATATTTTCTTTTATAGTGTATGCTCTTTTCAGAAAATGAACCATCTTTGTGCTTTGCAATTTCCTGAAACATTACGATCTTTCATTGTCACTTTTCTGCAATGCATTCACGCAGAAAATTACTTGCTGCCCTCCCACCCTGAGATAACCAAAATACTCCTGTCTATGTATGCCATGAATTAATCTCAGAAACATTGACTAATGGAATAAATTAAAATAACCAAAAAACAAATGGCTATGTTTGATCCTTTCTAATAGCTCATCTTTGAAATTCCAACCACCTGAAGAAGGCTGAAGCGTACAACAGCCAAAATGGTGTAATAAATATGGCAATAAAGATGAGAACAATAGTCTGAATAATGTAAATAGTGTACATAATACCTCATCTCAGAAATATAGACAGAAGCTCATCTTTCATATGTCATATCTCTTCAAGATGTAGACAATAATGACTCTCCACAACTTCCTTTCCTTTGTTACTCTAACTTCTGACCATTTATCATCCCTCTTTGTCCCTGTTTAGCTATTCATTCACACAGATGAGTCAAGTAGGTTACTTGCTGTTTTCCACTGCTTCATTTCCTTTTGCTGTCCTGTCAGTAGTATATTCTCCAGACCCTCTTTCCTCAACATGTGCCCCAGAAATTTCAACTCTCTCTCTCTCTCTTTCTGATTGTATGTGTTTTTTTTTTCTTTTTTTTCTTTTTTTTTTTTGTAATTCCTACTATCCTTAAAAATTCCAGCAGTAGCTAGATATGCAACCACTTGGAAATACCAAGAACTGTATGTTTGGATAATGGCTCGGAATTGTCAATTGAAGAGCCGAGTTCCAATTCCCATTAGGTTCCATTTCCAATCAGGTTTGTTATATTCACTTACACAGAAATATCCTTGGGAGAGGTATGAATCCACTTCTTTCTCACCCAGCTATGGATTAAATATTAGTTATATCAGTAAATCATTATTAACACCAAAAACAAAAAAAATTCTTACAATCCAAAAATATTCTCTAGCTTTAAACGGCCTGTAAAAGGTTGATAAGTCATAAAAAACAAATCAACCATTGGTCACAAATTCTTTCCCTGTATTCTAATCATTTCTTGATAGAATCACATTTCTGTTGCTTCACGTCTATTCTTAATTTTCTTGAATCTTAATACCATTAAAACCCATGTAATCTGCATACCTCTGTAATTTGCGCAGGTGATTTTCAGGATAAAATTAGTTAATAAAAAAAGCTGCTACTCATGTAAAGTTCACACCTCAAAATTTTCGGAATTACCGATATGGCTAGGGAGAAGAGGTTTTCAATTTAACATAATTTAATTTGCTTGTGATTAGATTTTATTAAATTTTCATTATATAAAAATATTTTCTGTTGAACAGGTAAGTATCATATTAAAAGATATAAATTATATGACCCAGAGTATACTCATATGTAGAAGTCAGTATTATGATTGTCAACATTGTAAATGTTTACAATTTGCATCCTTTTTCCTTACCATCTTCAACAATTTTACCAATCTCACAATGAAACAATAAAAACAGACAAGAATAAAACCATACAGTCAAGATTATCCATATCATTACACTTTTTCTAGTCAAGAATAACTATATCATTATGTATGTCAATGGTGCTCCATTGTGATTGGTAGAAGCTCCAAGCAATGTAAAAAAATGGCTGAGATCATCAATACTGGTATGAACATCAGTCTTCAAAAATTAGTTAACTATTTAATGATTTTAGTAAATTTATACAGCAAACGTAAGCATTATACTGTCCAACATAAATAAAAGTCAACTTCATTACATTTAAGGCATTATTTTTTCTGTATAAACTTATTCTGACATTAAATGGGTGAACTTATGGTATGAATGTTTAGTTTTGTATGTCTTTTTTCGACAAGAAAAATTTAAAAAAAACATGGAAAAAATCTCATGTAATTTACTCGCTCCCCAAAGTTTATTTTCATTTTTGTGAAAAAAATATGTGTAAATGTCATGGGTTTTTACGGTACTTTTCTTAGTTTCTGGAAGACATCTTTTACTGTTCATGTTACCAATGGATTTCCATGTCAGCCTTTGTATAATCTTATACTAAACTACCTAGATAGTTAGGTTTTTATAACTGTTTAATTTTGACATCCCCAATACGTAGCTGACACTTTATGCTATTTCTTTGATATCAAAAGAGACCTACTAAACTAGAAACTTGAATTTTACATGAAGAAATGTGCTACTTTCTTCAAGTCTCTTGTGGACAAGTTTCTTAACTTTAAAACCACAAAGAAAAATACAAGTAAAACAAAAGACTAGGTTTACTTATTCTAAATTGACTTTTTTCACTTGTATATTGTTGTCCAATTATAAAGTTTTTGCACAGAAAATTGATGTTTTTTTTTTTTTACAAGTAATAGAAAATCAATATATAATTAATATTTTTCATTAATGTTAACAGAATTCACAATGAAATTAAACAGCTTCAAACAAGTGAAGGATTCTGAACTTTTGTTGTTCATCTGTTAACTCCTCCAAGTCATTGCCAATTGTGCATGTCAAATGACCTCAAGAATACTGCCGTTTTCTGAACAGATCCAAAAGGACACTTTCAATCCATTCCTTTGTGATGGCTCAAGAAGGATTAAAAATCTGGGGATTTTCTTGGCTATCTGCCAAATCCTTTTCAGAGAGAAAATTATCAAGCTTTTCTCTTCTCCAAGAGTTCTTAAGTCAAGTTCACCTTCATGAAACTGTGTACGTTATACAGGAATGTCAGCTGATTATATCTGACATTAGATGTGAATATGCATAGAATTATATCAAATTGGATACAACATGAGGGAGAGAATATTACAGTATGACATCAATACAAATGAAATTTCACTTTGATATGCATATAAACATGGCCAGAAAAGGATAGATATGATGTGGCCAAGAAGGGTTCCAGGATAGATATATGATGTGACCAAGAAAGGTTCCAGGATAGATATATGATGTGACCAAGAAAGGTTCCAGGATAGATATATGATGTGACCAAGAAAGGTTCCAGGATAGATATATGATGTGACCAAGAAGGGTTCAGGGGTTGACCAAGAAAGGTTCAGGATAGATATATGATGTGACCAAGAAGGGTTCCAGGATGATATATGATGTGACCAAGAAAGGTTCCAGGATAGATATATGATGTGACCAAGAAGGGTTCCAGGATAGATATATGATGTGGCCAAGAAGGGTTCCAGGATAGATATATGATGTGACCAAGAAAGGTTCCATGATAGATGTATGATGTGACCAAGAAGGGTTCCAGGATAGATATATGATGTGGCCGAAGAAGGTGCCAAGATAGAGATGGCTAAAAAGGTGCCAAGATAGATAAGGCTATTAACTCCACCCCATGAACACCTACATACCATGGAAATCCTGGCAGCAACACTTTTCATGGTGAGGATGTAACCGACACAATGCTGGTTATGTTATGATTTTACTATTTCTTATCTGTCTCCATGTAAACACACTGTCTACAGGTATCATAATTTTACAGATGAAATAACTAGATGTAACTGTAAGTCCTATGCAAAGAGGTTCTTCTATCGTTCTTTTCATTTGTGGAACTCTCTTCCGGTTTCTTGCTTCCCAGTCAACTTTGATCTTCAAAAATTTAAATGCAGTGTCAATCGTCATTTTCTTTTTATTGTTTTCTCTCCTTAATATTATTTTTTTCTTTTTTATTCACATTCTCTAACACTCCATAGCCTCTTGCATTTTAGTGGGGTGAAAAAAGATTTGTTTCTTGTCTGATGGTGTCTTGTACCACATCGTTTTCAATACAGTCTGTGTAGAAGATGCCTATAACAGTTCTGTAGCCTCTTATTTTGAATACTTGGATTCTTCACTATAATTCTGCTATTAATGTCCTAGATACACAGGTATACAGAAAGATTCAGAAGGTTAATGCAGTCCAATCTTTGTTTGCAGATGGTTTTGTCTTTTCAGATGGTTATTAATTTTGTGACACCTGCCATTGATTGTGCAGCTCTGCAAATTATTTTTAATGATAATAATTATTAATAGGAAATTAAAATCATATTTTATGTTGGAGATTTCAGTTTTATATATTTCGTGTGATGCATCATTTCAGGATGTGGTGGGCCATGACCCTCCAGAAATTTCTATGCATTTTGATTCTTGACAATTTTAGTCTTTAACCATCTTCTTTGCATTCAATAACTTATTAACTAAATAGTAGTAGCAGTTTTGCATTTCTGTTCAATAACATCAGCTTTATTTAGGCTTGGTGTACTTCATATATTATTTGCTTGATTCATGATCTAGTATCTTGTTCACAGTTGCTCTCTCACAGTCATGCCATTGCTTCCCTCTGTCTTTTCTACAAATACTTTCATGGTAACTGCTTTCATGCTCTACTTTTACTAGTTCCCAAACTGCATGAATTTAAACGTGCTACTAGGATGGCATCTCAGTCTCACCTTTTCACTGTCTAAACAGTTAAATGTAGCCGTTTCTTCAACTCCAATAGCATCATGTCTCACACTTCCTGTCTGTGAAACTCCCTTCCTCTTACTTGCTTCTCCGATAGCTATAATCTTTAACTATTCAAATGCAATGTCAATTGACATCCCCAGATGCCTTGTTCTATTCCCCATCCTTCTCTTCATCCTTTCCTCTTTCACGCTTCTTTACTCTTGCTTTGTAACCTCTTGTGCACTAGTGGCACTCCCACTTGAGGTGAAAAGCTTAAAAAAAAATATTGGGTTTCTTAAATATATTTGGCGTGGAAATTCTAAGCTTAATGATACTGGTGCGGGGACATTTTAAACCAGATTCAAATTAAATTTTCATACATTTTATTTAACACTAGCAGCATGGCCTGGCATTGCCCGTGCTTGATTCAAAAATCGTACGACTCATACAGCAATCGCTATCACTTAAAATATTTTTGCCCTTCCTTGCCTTTAAAGGAGTGCTGATGTTGCTACATGCCTTACTTCTTGCCTATCTCACACTGCAAATTTTTTCTAAGCTCTATACTAAACATTAAATCTGTTACGAAAAAATAACTAAACAACATGAACGCAAAACGATCAGCTTTAAAAAAGGACTCGTAACTGAAAAAACTGAATGAAAACAGAATGTTAACAACAAATACTTTTTCACACCCAACCCAGTCTGCAGAATCAGAATCAAAGTTGAGTTTAATCAAGCGAATGAGCCAATTGGAGTAAAGTGCCATGGAGATTTAAATTTTTCCCACTTGTGACGAGTGCAGCTATCGATATTTTTTGCATGCTAGTTAACATTCATATCAGTCAGCTGTTGGCTCTCACACTGGCCAATAGAATCTTCCTGCCTATTCGTGGCAGCCAGCTATAGGCTCTCACTCTGGACAGTAGAAAATGGCCACAAACTACATGAAAACTGCCGTAGAAGCATGAAAAAATCGATTATTTCCACTATCGCTGGGAGTTGGGAAATGCAACATCAGTCTTGACCTTTCCAATAACTTGGAACATGTGCATGTAAATTTTGGTGCAAATCCGTCAAAAATTGCAGACGTGCATTTGTTACACACACACGCACACACATCCTGCCTTTTATAGATAGAGATATAATTGCCAAAATCAGTGTGATAAGATATTTTAAATGGGTGTCACTGGAGAGGAAGGAAAACAAAAGGAGGTCTTTAATTGAAAAAGTTTGACGACCCCTGGTCTAGATGTAGTTGTAGTTTTCTGCATTTGCCATTGTTGGTCATATGTGTATGTGAATTTTGGCAGATTCTTAAAATGTCTTTTTTTAAGAGAGATAATTTTATAAAATTCTCCTGCTTTATTTACCTGTTCATTTTTTTCCTGTTCTTTCTTTTTCTTTGCCTTGATCTCCCGCAATTCAATTACTTTTAAGCAAAAAATTTACAAAGTAATCCTTGAATTATAAGACGTTACTCAGTCACTTTTGATCAATTCTCACCATGTCACACAAATTCTGGCATATTGACATATTGTGCTAGTTTTGATAAAACTTGTCATAGATCAGTATCTTTTCTTTTATTTTGTGTTTTTTTTTCTCATAATTTGGTCACAGCATATGAAGACAACATGTCTGTCTCTATTTTATTATGAATTATTCATTAGACTCGGCTTGCACAAGGAAATGTCCAACTATTTTAGAGACTTACAGTTAATATGAATCAGCAAAATTTTTATGACAGTTATCTGAAAAAAATTGGGCAAAATCAGGCAAGATAGTTTTGAGAACAAGCAAGGAAAAATACTTTAAGCAACCTTTTAACAATTTTACAAGTGGAGGAACATTAGATTGCGTCCATCATGAAAGAGCCTGTCATCTCTGAGTGTTGACTTCAGTGTTCCCTTTTATATATATATATATATATATATATATAATAAAAAGCTTAAACACTAATATTCCATGGTTATAATTTATTACATTGGATCATAATTACGATTCCAATGTAATAAATTATAGCCATGGAATATTAGTGTTTAAGCTTTTTTATTATATTCTTACTCTGTCCTGGACATTGAGTTCTACCTGCGTTCTATCCTCTTGGAAATTTTTATATGTACGTGTATGTATATATCTTTATATATATATATATCCACACATATCTACACATGCATGCACCATATATATTTATACACATGTGCAGAGACATAGGAACAACATACATGAGCCGTGGTCACATGGTTAGAACGTTAACTTTCTGACCATGAGACTTGGGTCCAAATCTCACCATGGTTGATTTGTCGGGAAGGAGACTTCCAGATGTTATCGGAATGGATCAAGGTCGATTTCAGCATGTGGCACCTTTGGAAAGTGCCTGAAAACCACACCACAAGTTGACAATTTTACAAGTGGAGGCACATTAGAGAAACACGTATAAACTCAGGATGAGACTAACCATGAAGTAAAATTGATAAAAAGATAAGTAAGGGTCAGGGGAATCGGCATGGGCCTCCCTACCTATCCATATTTCATCATAGATGTCAGCCAGTGATTCGCGAACACTGTTGTAGAAGTCAAATGACATACCTGCTAACATGGCTGCCTTCTTGAGTCTTCTGGGAAAGGCAAGCCAGCTAATTTTACCTCACTTATAGGAGAGTACCTAATGCAGCAGGTGGGTTGGTCTATTTTGCTGGAATGGACCTGCCCAATATATTTGCATGAGTGGTCTCTATTCACCCATATGTCTCTCTATTAAATGACTCTGGGCTAGTTTTTAACTTAGTGATACACCAGTCTACTTGTGTGAGTATGGGGCATGATTTATAGGACCCCCTCGAGAGGATGCGGTATTGAGTGGTGACGGACGAGTTTTTATGGCAAATGTGAAACTTGTAATGAGTGAATGGGTTGTGAATCAGATTAGCTTGGTATAGGATAATATACCAAGCTAATCTGATTGTGTCGAACAGCCTCAACCCCTCCCCTTTTTTAGGTCATGTGCCACAATTGTATATTTCATACAATAAATATTCCAGTCTACTTGTGTGTCAGACCACTTGCAAGCTAACCAACATTCTACAACTGTGACTTAGATGTACTACAAACCCATTATGCATGAACCCCATATTAGCTGAGGTACATCCCTCTAGCAGGTCTGGAAGTGTTCAAAATAATGTCCCTGGAGGCATTTCCTGTAAGACATGCTGGGAGACCATATGGACCTACCAGACAGTCACCTATAATTACAGCCCACTCAGTAATCATAAACTGATGCTGCTGTATTGTACCATGGGGATTCCAATCCACCTACAAATACTGGTTGTGTAAATTTGTTAATTCAATCCCTTCCAAATGTTACCTCAAAAGTAAATAAGACTGATGAGATAAACAATGGATTAGCAATATACAATCAGCAAAAGTTCACTCCATGGTGAGTGATCAGTGGGTGAATGACCCTACATGTGTTGCAAATGATATGGATACAGGAGCTGCCCTTGATGCACTATTATGAGATGTGAAACGTGCTACGACAACTTGATACCTGGTCAGGTGTATGAGCTGATCTCGATCTTCCTTGATCCATAGTTTGTGGTGCTACAGATCCTGTCTCAGCAACATGATGATAGACAGCAGCATAGGTTGGATCACTCAACTGCCTTTGGTCTGGAAACACAATCTAATAGAGCCGTACAGCAATGTGTCCATTACCGTTCATGCAGCCGTATGTAAAATTCAATATATGGCTGCTCATTATATGAATATCCTGCCATTGTTTAACTTACTACTGCACATGTTAAACATTGAAGACAGACTAGTCACAAATGTACATGAATGACAAATGTAACCTAGTCTATATGGCAACACAGTGCCATCTCCTGTAAACTTTCTTTAAACTTAGTAACTCAGAAACAAAGAATTTGTGGAC